CAGACATGGTAGCACATGCCTGTAGCAAATGCTTTGTGTTTGCCAGACATGGTGACCCACTCCTGTAATCCCAGGACTCAGCAGGCTAAGGCAGGAGGATCACCACAAGTTCAAGGCCAGCCTGGGCTACATAAGCAAGTTCAAGGCCATCCTGTACTACATAGTGAGACCCTGTCTCACTATAAAAAAAAGAGGAAAAAAAATATAGTTGGGGCAATAAATCAAAACTATGTAAATCATCTTTTATCTCTAAGTGTATTTTCTAATCTATAAAATGAGAAAACTTGATTAAATACGTTCATCTGAGGCCAGCCACAGGGTAAGTACCTTTAATCCCAGTTACCTGGGAGGCTAAGGTAGCAGGATTGCAAACTACCGGCCTGGGAAAATTGCCTAAGTAACTTACCAAGCCACCATCTCAAAAAAAAAAAAAAAAAGTTAATGAAAGTTTTCTTATAGTTGCAAATTATATGAGTCTACACTTCTTGTATCACAGACTAAGTGACTTCAACAACTTCTTCCGTTAGTCTAAAAAACACTGTCATGCATTTTGGTTTTTCTTTGTGCTACAACACTACAGTGTTTCTGGGTTTGGTTTTGGTTTTTTTGAGACAGGGTCCTGTTATATAGTTAGGTTGGCCCCGAACTCACAGCAATCCTGGATCACCAATATCTTTTAAGCTCTTATATATTTTACTATATAAATATCCATGCCTCAAATATCTTAAGGAGTCCAGTCCCTACACTAGATCCCACTTCTATTTACTAGCTGATAGGTCAACAGTGATATATTACTTACCTAATACCAGCAAATTCCACCTTCTGGGTGATATAGGCACATGTGCTGACCTAAGGGAAGATATACGGAGATTCAAAGCCATGAAAAGTCAAACAAGATCTCTTGGTTTCCCAATCTCTTCTAACAACCAATATTCAATCAGCACAGGAGTGACAGCCTTACACCAAAGGAAAACTTGCTGGGGCAGGTATAATGTGTTTATTCATTTAAATGTAGTACAGTTTATTTCTCACTTTTTTTTTCTCTTGAGAGAGGGGTTTACTGTATTGCCCAGGCTGGTTATAAACTCTTGCCTTAAGCAATCTTTCTGCTTTTAGTCTCCCACATAGGTGGGACTATAGCAACGCACCATCATACCAACTTTTTTTTTTTTTGCAGTGCTAGAGATTAAACCCTGGGGCCTCAAGCATGCTAGGCAAACACTTTACCACTGAGCAACACCATATCCTAAGCAAATATTTTTTTCCAAACATATGCCTTATGTGGAAATTGTACCTATAATTTGTTTCATAATATGCAAAACTTCAGTATCACCTCACATTTCTGATAAACTAAGAGGAAAATATCCATTAAAAATAAATAAAAAGGGTCAGGGTTGTAGGTCAGTGGCAGAGCACTTGCCTGGAGTATACAAGGACCTGGGTTTGATCCCCAGCACCAAAAAACAAAAATAAGTGAGGAAGGAAAGTAGAAAGAAAGTACAGCAAAACAATCTTATCCAGAAGTTGTAAGATCTGGTTCTGGCTCAGTGTCATCTGCCTACCAGCTATCTAGCTTTAGGTAATCCCTTAACTTCTTGGTCTGTTTTCACATCTATAAGTTGGGGACAAAAATACTACTCCATGAGGAGGCAGTATGAGGAGCAAATGGTATCAAATGACAATCCGAAATCTAAAGTCCCCTTCAATTATAAAGTAACAGTATAATTTTCCATTCAAACCTAAAATGCAGAATAAACATCTCTAACAGTAAACAAAAACAAAGCTCAAGAACAACTGGCAAAAGGATGGAAGAGCACACGTAAGATGTTTATAATAATAGTCTACAGGGGGAGGGGGAGGGGAAAAGGGGATGTAAAACGAATTAAGATGTGTCAAGTACATGTACTAACTACCCAGAATGAATGAATCTACTGCAAACATGTACTAATTTTAAAAAAAGAAAAAAAGAAATAAAAGCATACTCAGTGAAAGTGAATGGTCAAAAAAATTTTTTAAACTTGCCTACAGATCCTGGATTCAGAGATGATTTTACACTCTTCTTACTAGATTTTATAAACCTCTTGATGATAAACAAAGATGATTCATATAATGGAAAAGGTAATAAAGTTTTTTTTTTAATTACATCTTACCAAACTTTTCTTTAGTCGCCACATATCCCCACGGCCGATATACTGATCCTTAAAAGTTAGTTCTACTAGGTCAAGGGTCACATCCTAAAAGGGATAATGAAAACACATCTCTCTATATCATTGTGTCATACTCTATAGATAAAGCCCACCAAATGTAGAAGAAATACAAACTGCTTGCAATACAACTACTGGAAGCTCCGGGTGTGATGATGCATGCCAGTAATCCCAGCACTCTGGGAGGCTAAGGCAAGAAGATCACAAGTTCAAGCCTCACTTCAGGCAATTTAGAGAGACGCTGTCTCAAAATAAACAATTAAAAAGTTCGGAAGATGTAGTTCCATATGAAGGACCTGGGTTTAATACCCATTTGCTTAGAAAGAAAAAAAAAAAAAAAACACAATCTTAACAAACAAACAACATATACATATATCCTACCAAAAGTAGCTTGCAAGCCTGGCATCATGGCCTGCAAGCCTACCACTCAATGGCCTGAGGCAAAAGGATTGAGTTTGAGGCCAGCCTGATCTACAGATCAAGTTCAAGGCCACCTGGACCATATAGCAAGAAAACATCCCCAAACAAAACAAAAACCAACTGAAAGGCTTGCAAGTAAGGGTGGTAGGTCTACAGAAGACCCCACAACAGTTGTATCAAATGCAGGGCAAAAAATCATAGTACTGCCAGGCATGTAATCTCAGCATCTAAGAGAGGGAGGAAGAAGGAGTTTGAGACCAGAATAGCAAGACCCTGTCTCCAGAAAAATAAAAAAGACCACTAATAGCATGTTTCTGTGAGCTACTTTTTTTTTTTTTTTGGTGTGGAGGGGTTCCATATGCTGCCAAACTGGCCTTAAAACTCTTAGGCTCAGCTGTGCATGGTGGTGCACACCTGTACTCCCAGCATGTGGGGGCTCAGGCAGGAGGATCACCCTGAGTTCAAGCTGGGCTACCTAGTGACTTCAAGGCCAGCACACACTACAAAATGAAAGATTCTATCTCAAAAAAACAAACCAAAAAAACCCTCCTAGCCTCAAGCCATTCAGCTGCCTCAGTCTCTTTAGCAGCTAGGAGCACAGCACAACATGACCACTGTACCCTTGTTTTGGTCTTGATTGTGGCAGATGAATTGAGCAGTATATTTTATTTCCCAAGATAATGTCAATAATACCTTCTGGACAATTATTTTTTACCTATTATAGTACACTTAATGAAGAAAAAAGAGAATACATAAAGAAATTTTAGTATTTTAATTGAAAATTATACATACAGTTTCATATTCAGAATCTTATTAGGACAAATTAATAACAAAGGGGGAGTAATACACAACCCATAATCTAAGCAACATATACAAGACCATTATTTAGTAGTCTAACATTATGCTTAAGTAATTCATTATTTCCTCAGTGACTTACGCTTAAGGAATGGTGCTAATCATTTCAAAAAAATATTCAAGTCCAGAAGACATACCTTAGGGTCCACAACATTTACATAGACATCTTGATAAGGTCTTAGCCGGAACACTTGAGTTACAGTCTGGTCCACACTGATAGTTTCTGAAACCAAGTAAAAAAAAAAATGTCAATCAGATAATTCATTTTTAAAAAACAGGTAAAGCTGACACACAAGTGCATGTCTGTAATCCTAGCAGTGTGGGAAGCTGAGGCAGGAGAATCACAAGTTTGAGCCTAGCCTGGGCAGCTTGGTGACTTAGCAAGATCCTATCTCAAAATAAAAAATAAAAAGGGCTGGGAATGTATCTCAGTGTGAAGGCCCTGCGTTCAATCCACAGAACTGTGAGAAAAAGAAAAACAAGAAAAAAGTAGGTGAATACATTCTAATCTATAAAAATACAGACATTAAACAAGCAAAACGACTGATCGTTTGCCATGGGGAAGACATGTTCTTTTTTTCCCAAGAGCTTTAAATGTAAACAGTTCTCCGCTTTTCCTCACAACGGCCTGCCCTGTTTTCTCCCGGGTGTTCTTTTATCTTGCTTTTTCCTCTTTTACTTGGCCCAAGCTTGTTGTGCAGAGCCAGTTTCTCTCTCACTCTTCATCTTACTTTTTCAAATAAACTTTGCCACTGTGAAAGAAAGGAAGGAAGTGAGGGAGGGTGGGAGGGAAGGCAGGCGGGAGGGGGCTCGGATGTAGAGATTATGTGTCTGAGTTCAACCTGCAGCACCCAAAAAGAGGATAAGTGAGGGACACAAAAAATTTCAAAAACTTGTAAAAATTCAGAAGAGATTCTTTTTTTTTTTTAGAACAAAGTATATCAGTGGTGGTTAGCCTATTAAATTAGAAACATAAGCAAGGGCAGGAAATGGGGTGTGGAAGATACACTCAGGATTTGGGTTTTACACAATGTGTTCCCATTAATTTGAAATATTGAGTGGCTGAATATGAATAGTTGACATCAAGGTCCTTTAGAACAATAGAACTTTCTTCTCTAAAGTACCATTTAAGGAGTTACCTTATTTACTATCAACATATTGGTTCCTTGGGCAGCATGGCATAGCCATTAGAGGAAAAGAAAGAGGATTTCAACCCAGAATGAATAAGGAGCTGGGTACAGTAGCATGTACCTACAGTCCCAACTACTCAGGAGGCTAAGGCAGGAGGATCACTTGAACCCAAGAGAACAAGGGCAACCTGGGCAACACAGAGTGACCCCAATCTCAAAAAAGGAGACCAAAATGAGTAAGTAGAATCACCACCTCTGGCTCCACTGAGTACAGTTTCAAAGAAACTAATTTTACTAAAAATCGGTTTGGAGGATAAAGTGCTACAAAAAATTCCTAGTACAAGCCATGTGTAGTGGTGAACACTTATAATCTCAGCTACTCAGGAGGCTGAGACAGAAAGACTGCCAGTTGCAGACCAGCCTGGGCAATTTAGCAAGATCCTATCTCAAAAAAAAGGGGGGGGGGGGTGTTTAAAAAATTAAAAAAATAAAAAAAAAATTTTAAAAAAGGGGGCGTGAGTCTTGAGACAGAATCTTTCTTAGTCACTTTGTCAGTGCTGGGACAAAATAACTGACACCTACAACATAAAGGAGAAAAGGTTTACTTGGCTCACATTTACAATCCGTGGTCTGCCAGCTCCAAAGCAGCAGCAGGGCAGAGAGCACAGCAGAACAGAAGCCTCTCACCTCATGGCAGCCAGGGACTGACCTCTTGCAATCAGGCCCAACCTCCTAACAGCAAGACAGCTACACTGCCCCATATGCAGTCATCTTCCAAACGCCCTACCTCTGAGCACATGGAGCTCTCGGGGCACATCTAAGTATAAACCATATCAGTCTTGCTGTGTAGTCCAGGTAGGCCTAGCTCTCACCATCCTCCTGTTTCAGCCTCCCAAGTGCTAGGATTGCAGGGGTATGCTACCACACCCAGGTTTAAAAAAATTTTTGGCTGGGGATGTAGCTCAGCGGCACAGCACCTGCCTGTCAAGCACAAGGTCCTGAGTTTGATTCCTGGTACCAAAAAAATATTTTTTTAAAGGCTAGGGATGTATGGGCTAGGGATGTATGGGCCAGGAATATAGCTCAATGGCACAAGTTCCTGCCTGGCAAGCACAAGGTCCCGAATTTAATTTCTGGTACCAAAAAAAGGGGCAGGGAGCTAGGGATGTAATTCAGTGGTATAGTGCTTGTCCTTGGTTCAATCACAAGTACCAAAAAGAGTTCCCATTATAGTGTTTGCACAAGTGGGATAATCATCGATATATGCTTCTTCTATGTTCCTATCTAAGTCAAAGTAGACACTTTTTTTTTCTGGTACTAAGGACTGAACCCAGAGCCTTTACATTAAGCTACATCCCCACACTTTTTTACTTTGCATTTTGAGATGGATCTCATTAAGTTTCCCAGGCTGGGCTCAAACTTGGAATCTTTTATGCCTTAACTTCCCAGAGTGCTTTGGTTATAAGTGTGCTCTACCACACCTGTCTTAGGCACTTAAATGCTTTGTGAAAAAAATATAATACTTTAAAAAACTTGCTTTTTCATAGTGAGATTAACCTTTCTCCTGGTGCTAAATATAGTTTCTTCAATGCCCTAAACATGCTGACAAATGAGATTCTTTGGTAGTTTTGACATCTGACATGTTGTTTTAAAAGAGAACACAGCTGGGCATGGTGGCGCATGCCCGTAATCCCAGCATTCAGGAGGCTGAGGCAGGAGGATCATTGCGAGTTCAAGACCAGCCTGGGCTATAAAGTGAGCTCAAGGCCAGCCTGAACTGTATTACAAGACCTTGTCTCAAAAATAAGTACATAAATACATAAATAAATAAATAAGAGAGAACACAATTTCATAAGAAAGTACTAATTTGACATGAAAGTGTAACAGGAACTAATAAATCTGCCTCCAAATCCTGTGTGTCGTTTTGGTATTTCTGCTTGCTGTTACAAAAGTACTTGCTTTCATATCCTAAGTTTATGAAGTTTTTATAGTTTCTGAGACAGTAAATACAAAAATCCCAGACAAGAGAGATGTAATCCATACCTTTCTGTAAATCTTCTTTAAGTGACTTAACTTGTAAAAGCAGAGGGCTGGAATACAAAGCAACAAAGATGTGGGAGACTGTAAACAGTAATTCCTCAGCTCACTTCCCACCCCAAAAAGGCAAACATCACTTTGGACATACTGTAAGCTGCAGCACAACGGGGGAATCCTCTCTTAGAAATAAAGAAACTGCACATGCAGAAGAAATGGATAAATGTAACAACTTTTCAGAGTTATCATTTCAGCTTTAAAAAATAAAGAAAGGTAAAAACAAAAACAAAAACAAAGAAAATAAAAAATGGGGCTGGGGATTTAGCTCAGCGGCACAACGCCTGCCTGGCAAGCGCAAGGTTGTGAGTTCGATCCCTGGTACCAGAAGAAAAACAAAAACAAAAACATAAAGAAAGGTGAGATGCAGTAGCGCACACCTGTAATTCCAACACTAAGGAAGTTGAGACAGGAAGACTGGGAGTTTGAGGCCAGCCTCAGCTACCATAGCAAGCTCAAGGCCAGCCTGGACTATATAGCAAAAAGTTGTTACAAAAGAACAAACACAAAGGAAGGCAGGGAAGGTGGGCAAACTTCTAAAAAGTACATATGCATTTTTTTAAACCAAAAGTTATCTTGCCCTTCAACCCTCTTAGACCAAATATCGTCTGAAAACTGCAAGCTATTCAGTTCCCTTGATCTTAAGAAGATGCTCACCTGTATTCATCGTTCGGGTGAGCAATTTCCACAATGTCTCCAAGCTTGATGTGAGGAAACACTTTGGGGTTCACAACGAGTTCATCATCTGAAAGACAATTCAATGATCTCAAGTAGAAAACGCACTACCGTACAATGTGTGCTCTGCATGTGCAAGGCCCAGGTTCCATCTCCAGCACACCCACGTCCCACCCCCTCAAAAAAAAAAGTGAAAACATCAAGTAAAAAAACACATTCATGAGTATGACGGGTACACTGTGCGCCTTTTCAGGTTGATATTACTATCCGGTATCACAGATGTGGTTCCTTTTTCTTTTCAATTTATTTTTGTGGTATTACTGAGGTTCCATTTTGAGTTTGTTGTTGTTGTTGTTGTTTTTGTTTTCAGTGCTGCAAACTGAACTCATGGGAGTGCTATACCACTGAGCTGTACCCTCAGCCCCTAAGGTTCCATTTTCAAGTTTAGAATGATTAAAGCATTTGCACAGGTATCCAGGTACTGAGCTAGTGAGTAGATGAACCAGACAGGACTCAACAACCTTTGTCCAGAGCTTGTGCTCTTTCTACTATCCCGCTGCACCCAAGAAAAAGCAACCCATGGTTTCTGGGAATGAGGTCTCTAAGAAAGGCCTTTATGCCTTCAAGTATCATTGATCTGGCATATACCAGGATCAAAACAGCCAGAGTCCCACAGATACAGCACAATCAGTATTCAAAGAATTTCCCTAAACGCTGTCATGATGTGACACTGACAGTAAATCTGTGGTAATAATGGGAGCGAAGAAATAAATGGGAAATAAACTGGCTTGCCTAAGGGACAACAGCTAGTAACTATATAACCAGGAATCCTTCTACTTAAATCTCACGAGTTATAAACATTAAGCCACATAAAAAGGCCTGGACTCTGAAGAGCTGTATCTGGTCAGGGAACAACTTCAGATATCAGTTCACATTAGAGTTTAGAAAGGACCCTGAAAATACAGGGAGTGAGGGCTGGAGGGCAGAGCACATGCTTAAAAGCAAAAACACCCTGACTTTAATCCATAGCACCAAACAAACCTCAAAACCCTAAGACACAATAACTATACTGCTATTTTAGATTAGAGAGAATTACATCACCTTTAATTATGATAACACCATGAAAAAATAAGTATATCAAGATTTTAAATACAGCTTGGCATGGTAGAACACAACTGCAAGAGGATCGTTGCAAGTTCAAGGCCAGCCTGGGCTACAAGTGAGCTCAAAGCCAGCCTGAACTACACAGCAAGACCTCTATCAAAAAGACAAAAAAAAAAAAAGAGAAAGATTTTAAATACAAGCTGGGCATGGTGGCTCATGCCTATAATTCTAGCAGTTGAGAGGCTGAGGCAGGAGAATCGCCAAAGTTCAAGGCCAGCATGGGCTATATAGTGAGTTCCAGGCCAGCCTACACTACGAAGTGAGACAATCATCTCAAAACCTCAAGCAAACAAAGATTTCAAATACAAACATATTCAACAAAAATTCTGGCTAGTAAAGTAAAGCACTGGGTTAATCCCCAATTTTATTTGATATGTTTCCATTGACCATTTTAAGTGTAGCTCTGTAAAGCTTCCCCTACCTTCCAGTCTGAATTACACTCCCTGAGCACATATTTTGACCAGTTTTATCATCTCCTATTTGCATTGTTTGTCTAATTTGTGTGAAAGCTCCTTAGGAATAAGAGACTTTGTCATACTCATAATCTTTGTGTTTGCTATACATATATACCTAATAAACACTTACTAGTTGTTGTTTCCTTTTGTTTTGTTGTCTAACAGTACTGTACTAGGGATTGAACCCAGGGCCTTCACACTGAGCTACACCCCCAGCTCTTTCTTTATTTTTTGAGACAGGATCTTGCTAAGTCACTATACTCCCTAAGGTTAGGGTCAAACTTGTGATCCTCCTGCCTCAACTTCCCAGAGAGCTGGGATTATAGGCATGCAACACCATGCTCAGCTTTACTGGCTGTATTCAAATTTATAATCCCGGGGCTTGGGATATAGCTCAGCAGCACCGCACCTGCCTTGCAAGTGTGAGGTCCTGAGTTCTACTCCCAGTACCAAAAAAAAACAAAACAACAACAACAACAACAAAAACCCAAAATTTATAGTCCCAGGTACATCACTTAGTTTCATTTGTCCTATACACATGACAACATGGACTTGTATGTGTTGAATATAGCCACATACACAGCATCCTTCAGTTATGTTTTCAGCCAAGTTTTTTTTATTTGTTTCATTTTGTTGGTTTTTTGAGGCTGGGTCTGTATATTTCAGGCAGGCCTTGAAATCACCATGTACTCCAGGATGGCCTTAAACTCACAGCGATTCTTCTGCTCCAGCCTCCTGAGTGCTGGAATTATAGACGTGTCACCATGCCTGGCTTCCTCTGCCACAGTTATTTCTGTTCTCTATTCAATAGTTATCTGTTCTTCTACGCAAATGTTTAGGTAACATCAATAGCACACAAAACACATTAACAATAGACTGCAATTTAGCAGAAGTTGTGTTTCAAATTTAGCCATATTTGGTAAATCTTCGGCCTGGTAATTATAATGGCTTCATTTATTGAACATGAGCCTGGAACTCTGCTAAATGCTTTTACATTGTCATCTTAATGAAGCTTCCTAACATCCTATGATTTAAACACTATTTTTCTTTTTTACTTTTATGGGTTTGTTCTTGTTTTTGTTTTTGTTTTTGTTTTGGAGTTAGGCTCTTATTATACAGTCCAGTATGGACTTAAACTTGTAACAATCCTCCTGCCTCAGCCTCCTGAGTGATGGGACTACAGCTGTGTGCCACCATACCTGACATAGTCTCTTTTTGCCAGTCTCTGCCCTCCAGAGGCTTACATGTGTATAACACAGCAGTAAATTCATAATAAAATATAATTTCTGGGCTTGCGGTATACCTCAGTGGTAGGATGCAAGCTTGAGGCCCCAAGTTTGATCCCCAGCACTGCAATAAACAACATAAACTAAAAAATGTTGTGTTAATTCTAATTTCTGAAGTAAATAAGGTTGTTAAAACAACAGAGAAAATTATTACTTTACAAAATAAAAAAATCATACTATTACCTCCTATTCTACAGACTTATGGAGTTCCAGAAGCTAAGACAAACTGTTTCAAAACCATTGAATTTGCAGATCAGGTAAACGAGGGGCTTGCCCCAGATCAGAAAAAGCGGGAGGCAGAACAGGCATAGGGATTCTGCTTTAGTGCACAGCAGCATGCAGCATCCTGCCTCTTCCTCCTAACCCTAGGCAAAGGTGCTTGCTTTGATCATACCCGTTCTACGCACATACATGAAATATCTCTCTCACTGAATGTAAAAAGTGAAATAACACTTTAGTTCCTTTATCTCCCAAAGTAGTACAGCATGAAAATTCACACACACAGCAAAAAATAAACACAAACAAATGAAGGGTAGTGAACACAGAAGGCAACAATGTTCCTTAAAAGCCTGAATGCAAATGCTTTTAGAAAGTGTCTGTGCTCTCAAACTCTATCCTCTTTGTTGCTATTTTATAACCCTGCTTCACTCACTGAAGTTGCCTGTCTAGCTTAGATTGTCATGAGTTGCTGAATAATTTTCAAGTCTCTGGACACATCAGAACTTCAAGCGACTTGCGCGCGCACACACACACACGCAAAACCAATCAATACTGACCACTGCCCCCAAATCCTTTTTTGTGGATGACAAGTTTGTAGACCTTTGTTGTTCTCATCTTGTTGTGTAGTTGCCTTCAACTGTTCCAGCCTTGGGATAGAGAGGTCATCTTGTCCCTGCCATTGAAACAGACAAAAAAAGCTAGAATGTAGAACTTCGCCCCCACCCCCGCCTTGGCTTTGATTTTAGGTCAGTGACCACACCTGTGTTGCATAGTTGAGAGGTGGCGGGCCCAATGGTAGGATGAAAACACTCTCCCAATTACAAGAAGAGCGGCAGAACAAAGAACCACAGAATCCAGGAACTAAGGGGAATTGGGGCAGGGGTCTCGCCAAACTTCGAAAAAGATATCCTACCTCCTCCCTAAAGGGAAGCCTTGTAAGTGAATGAGGCACTCATTACCTGGTCTCCAGCTACACCAGTAAAACACAAACATTACAGCGATCTTAAGAGGCTAATCTATTCCATTTGTAGATGAGGGAAGTGAAAGCCAATACAAGGGACTTCACCAAGGTCACTCAGCAACTTCGGGGCACTCTCACAATTCAAGCGTCACCAAACATCTGGAAAGAGCCAATACAAACAGGAGGAAGACAGAGGTTTCCTACGCCGACCCTCCATCTGCACCAACTCTCCGCTGACCCTCACGCCTTCACGCCACCGCCAGGGATCAGAGAGGGAGAGAGACTTGTCCAAGGTCACAGAGCGGGCTGAAGACTGAGTCGGAACGCGAATCTGGGCCACAGACCTCCCCCCTTCAAGCTGCATCCCAAGGCGAGCGGCTCCACTCACCCTCCGCTCCGGAGCCCCGTCCGGTCTCGGGCCGGGGAGGAGAGGGCCGGACTCTCGGCAGCTACCCGGGGCCTCCTCTGCACCCCTAACCTAAGCGCCGCCGGCCCCACCGGCGGGCGCCGCTGCCCACCCTGAGTTCCAGACGCCGCCGGGCCAGCCCCCACCGCGTAGGGCTCACCTGAGAACCCGCGCAGCTCCCGCGGCTCCGCCCCGGGACCCCGCCCCTTTCCCGCCCCCGCGCCCCGGGCCGCTCTCGCCGAGCCTCCGCCGCATCTCGGTGGCCGCGCCACTTCCTCATCCGGGGCTCGCGCCGGGGGCGGGGCATCGCGTGCGGCCTCTCGCTCTGACCTCGGGCTGGCGTTTCCCGCCAGGTGGCCGGATGGCCGCGTTCCGCTGGGAGGAGATTAGAACGTAGTACCTAGGAGGTTCGTTTCCGACGTGGCGATCGATCCCGGTAGAACAAACTGGGCGAGCCTACCCTGTTCCTGAGCTGTCTCCTTGTGTACGAACGAAGTTAATGACGCTCTCCTGGCTTCACTGCGCTCTCGAGAGGCGCAAAAGAAAGTTTATGGAACTGTTATAAAATGCGAAGGTCTGAGCACGTGAGACTTAACGGTGAGGGCTCCTACCGGGAAGTATCACTTTGCGGGTCTTTGCAAACCCAAGCCCCAGAAGACGATCTTTACTCCTAAGGTTAATAATAACGCGACTTCACAGACTTGGGTAGTTGTAACTACCTATTAGGTAGCCAATACTATTGAATTTCCCTGGTCGGAAACCGAGCCTGAAGTCGGAAGCCTTTTCTTTATCGCCTCGGTGCTGGGAGTCCAAACCAATGCCTCGCCTAAGTACCGGGCAAGCACTCTACCGCTACACCCTGACCCTTTGTTTTTTATTTTGAGACAAGATCCTAATACGTCGCCAAATTGCTCAGACAGGACTCAAACCTAGAATCCTCCGGCCTCAGCCTCTTGAGAGTGCTGTGATTACAGGGGTGCACCAACACGGACAGCGGGGTCTTTTTATAACTGAAATCCATATGTCATATCAAACCATTACTCGACGTTTAATCACAATGACTACTAAATCTAAATAACACTCCTACTTCCAGCCCATTGCAGCACCTTGTTTTAATTTCTTAACAGCTTTAACCCAAGCTGCTCCAATTTCTTACGGTTTTCAGGAACCTGTATGAGTATTGGCAGAAAGAAGTTGGGTGGACCAGTGGGAGACTTGGGTATGAGCCAAGGGGACCCGTGTAGCAAAACAAGCAAAAACTTCCTTAAACATGATTTTAATTAGAATTTGTGCCAAGTTAAGTAGTTTATTAAGTAATGGTGAGTAATGTATTAAGTAATGGTGAGAACCAGTATTTTTTGTACTGGGTATTAAATCCAAGGTTTCGTAAATGCCAGGCAAATGCTGTACCTCTGAGCTATGTGCTATATCTGCAGCCCCCCCACCCTTTTTTGAAATGACTTCACAGTGAGATTCCTAGGCTGGCCCAGAACTCCTAGGTTGAAGCAGTCCTCTTGCCTTGACCTGCCTGGTAGTTGAGACTGCAGACAGGAAGGCACCAGGCTTGTGAAAATTTTCAAGAAAACCGGAGAGGACGTAACTCAGCGGTAGAATACTGGCCCGACCTGGCATACCGGAGGCCCTGAATTAGATCTCCAGCACAGCAAAGAAAAGAAAAATCATACAGGGCCGCTGTGGTGGTGCACCCTGTAATCTTAACTACAAGTGAGTCCACTACTTACCAACTTTAGCGTTGGGTACAAATCACTGAAGTATCTCGTGTCTGCTGGATACAGTCACAGATGTGCTGTTGTGTGTTTACTGCACAGTGCAGTAGGGTACAGTAGTACAGTGCTCAGTCAGAGCCCAGGATGTTCAGAAGCAAGAGGAAGAGCTTAACATTGTATATTTGGAGCAAAGATATGTCAGACTCACTTTATCCGACTTACAAACTAGTCCAATTTAGAAACATTGTCCCAGAAAGGAGCTCCATTGTAAATCAGGGGTTTATTTGTACTTGGAAGAGTAAAGTGGGAGGAATTGCACATTTGGAAGCCAGTTTAGGGAACTTAGCCAGGCCCTGTCTCAAAAAAACAAAAAAACTGAGAGGAGGGCTGGGGATGTAGCTAAGTGGTAGAATAAGTTGCCTAGTATACACTAAGCCCTGTGTTCTACCTGGGCTTCTTCCCAGTAACACACACACACACACACACACACACACACA